ACAAAAATGAGTTTTGTATTAGTAATTTTTTTGGAAATTATGTCGTTCAAAAGTACGAAAAAAATTTGGGTTCATGTGCAGATTATTAATTATTTTATTGAGAGAATGTATTTTTGAAAATGAGTTTTTAGATAATGAAGTTCAAACATAACAAAATTACATCATTAGAAACAAATTTCATGTGTTTAGGTGACTGCGACTCTTCTTTTGATTGGGGGACGAGTGCACAAGCAAAACATGTATGAATTAAGCTAGTGTGCCAAAAAATGTTTGCCCACCCGGGTGACCAAAACTCACATAGTGTGGGACTGACGTGGGGACCCGCGTGAAATAAGAAATGAAAAAAAATGCTCACCCCCTCCCCAATGTGTGTGTTCTGCCACCCTCCCTGGCACAGTAGCTCTGTTCAAACATGTATGAAGTGAAACAAAACTTGATATGAAGTAAAAAAATAAAAAAAGTCATTGTTCAACTCTTTGACAATACGAAAAAATTCATAGCATCTATATGAGCTTTTTTGTCAATACGAAGAATCATTGTTAAACTCTTTGTCAACAAAAAAAAAAAAAAAAATCAAAACCACGTATATATATACGGGCATTGATGTGTTGTCCCTCGAAATCAAGACATTGGAATTGGACTAATAAAGTAGATTATTATTTTTTATTCTCTGGAAAGTGCAAATATTAGTCGGATCTTCTTCCATAATGGTATAGAACAATAGTCTAATTGAGGTAGATTTGACGGCAATTTGTATGTAAATAAGCCCGAGGGAGAGGAGAAGTTGAGCCGAATCCTAGAAAAAGAGTTGCATTTGATTTTAGTATCTGAATAAACGAGCATGTTTTAGTAAATGAAAGCACTAATTTTTTACAATGGGACTGAGAAAGAAAAGGAGATTCATGATGCATTATTATGCAAGAAGCGTATGGTACCTTAGAGTAACTAGTTCTACTATTTCCATTGTGAACACATCCAACCTGGCTGTTAGTGGCAATCCAAAATTTGCAGTAACAGATAATAATTGATTTCTGTTGAGAAAAATATAGATGAGTAGAAAATGTTTGCATAGCAATCGAGGATGTCGACATCGACCATTTCGGCTTCTCGGTATAGGAATTCCATCTGTTTCATCATATGCAGTGTAGGAACTTCTCCTTCTTAGCTTCCCTTATATTTCTAGTAAGAGATCATGGATGTTGCAGGCTTTGATCTTGCCACTAATAAATATAAGATTTCTGCCAATTAAATCCTCCAGGTACTCTTCTGCTGCCTCTTCCGAGGTTTTAGTTCTTACTGGTTTAGAAATCTTGTTTTGGGGTGGATTCAGGATCTGCTCTCGAGTCTGCACAAGAGAAGCTACAGCTGATGTACAAACACGAGAAAGAATGCAAGCTCTTAGTTACACAATCACAGGTGTAAAATTAATACAATAAACACTGTCTTATTAATAATCCAAAACTGTAGTGAATTACATTTTTGTCAAGTACTATAAAATCTAACAAGGAAACTTGACTCTGTAGTTGCTTCCCTCCAACACCAACACCTCTATATATCTTGCCTTGAATAGATCGTTGGATGGACGCGAACTTGAATATCTAGGTTCCCGAAATCCTGCTGTTCTTCTAGAATTTCCATTGCTGATTTTGCAGCAGATTCGCTAGAGTCGTCAATTTCAATGAGTTCAAGCGTTGATATAGCTCCAAATCCTGAAGGGATCTCCTCTAGATGGAAGCACCCCCGAATACTTAAGCGTTTAAGGCTTGGGAAGTGGGTTTCATCAGCTATCCAGCACTTCAAGTCTATGACCTCAAGTTGCAGGTATTGTAGTAGACGAAATTCTCCTTCATTTGCTTCCCATTTTGGGCCTACGAACGCGTAGATTTGCAACTTGAGTGCTTCGAGATTGGGCAACGAACCAACAATCGTCATATTTTCCCATGAAATTGCGCAACCACTCAATGTTAATTTTTTAAGGTTGAGTGGAAAAACAAGATTCAGTGTAGCATTCAAAAACGCTGGAGAATACTTGGGAACAAAGACGCATTTCAGTGTTTCAAGCTGATGAAGACAGACGAGATTGTTCAGATAATAGGACAAAATGTCCAGGTCTGAGCGAGGAGCGTACGAGATTTTCAATTTCTTCAGGTTCGGAATCATTCTAAGGACCTCCTCAGACAATCTTAAATCTTTTACTCGAAGTGTTTCCAGGTTTTCGAGAACAGAATTGTACCCATCAACTTGTGCACCAGAAGGATCAGGCAAGACACTTCCATTTAAATAGAGATGCCTTAGTCTTGGCATCTTCCAGATTCCCAATGGTAGATATAGTATATCCACGAACGTGACTCCCATCCCTCGATAAAAGATTAACGTCTGAAGATTACAAAGTCTGGATATTGATGCAGGAAGCACGCCATCGTAGATGAAAGCAAGGTACCTCAGAGTAACTAGTTCTACTATTTCAATTGGGCATACATCCAACATAACTGCAAGCATATCCAACACCCTGAGCAGTCTGAAATTAGCAGTAAAAGATAATACTTGACGAGGACGTCCAAAAAAATATAGAAGAGACTGGACAGATGGGTTATACTTGTTTCCATAGGAATCCAGGATTTCTGAAGGAATACTTAGGCGACGTTGACTTAATGGCGTTTTTTGGAAAAGGTAATCAGCCGATCTCATGACATGAAGGAAATTCTCTTTCTTAGCTTCCCTCAGACAAATTTCTCGTAAGAGATCATGGATGCTGCAGGTTTTGATTTTGCCATTAAACCGATGGGTTTGAACCAATATAAGATTTCTGCCAATTAGATCCCCCAGGTGAGTTTCTGCTGCCTCTTCCAAGGATTTCGTTTCCAATGGTTTTACAAATCCTTCAGCAGCCCACAACTTGATGAGTTTGGAAATGGAGATCTCATGAGCTGCTGGGAAAGCTCCAAAGTATAAGAAACAAGCTTTCAAATGATGTGGCAAGTAGTTATAACTCCAAGACAGAATCTCTAAGCACTGCTCGTCTTTTGTACTTACAATGGATCTTACATTTTCTGCAACGTGCTCCCAGTAATCTCGCTTCTTGCTGGAATTAGACAGGTGTCCACCAATCACCACAATTGCTAATGGAAGTCCCTGGCAATTTCGCGCTATCTTCTTTCCGATTTCCTCCAATTCTGGATGACAACATTCATTTCCAAATACCTTCTCACGAAGCAGATTCCAACTTTCTGTCTCATTCAGAAGATGCATCTGATGATAAGTACCACTAGATTTTACATAGAGAGCCACGTTTGATAGACGAGTAGTTATCAAGATTCGACTTCCATTATTGTCGTCTGGAAAGAATCTTTTCACCTTATCCCAGACATTAGTATCCCACAAATCATCCATTAAAATGAGATACCTATTGCCCTTTAAACTTTTGTACAGACGCTCTCCTAATTGATCATCACTTGCTTGATTCATTTGATCGCTGAGATTTTTCATATGACCTAGAAGGCCTAGCAAGATTTCTCTCATGCGATATTGTTGAGATACTGTCGTCCAAGCACGGATATAAAAGTGAGAGACAATAAAGGGATCATCATAAACATTTCTAGCGAGAGTGGTCTTACCGATGCCTCCCATCCCAGTGATTGAGACAATTTCAAGTTTAGATGGAAAGCCACTGAGCCGATCCTTTATTTGCATCATATCCTTTTCTAGTCCCACCTTAGAGCTCTTGCCACTTGAAACAAATGTCGATGAACCAGCAGGCTTTGAACTCTTTGATTCCAGATTCTTTATACTGCCTCCTTGTTCAATCTTCATCACCTCTTTCTTTATGGAGTCCATTCTTTCTAGAACTTGCTGCAAGACTTTATAAAAGCTTCCGTAATTTCTTTCTTTATTGCTTTCAGATGCAGGAAGAATAACTGATACGTAAATCTCATCTTCAGATGCATAGGCCGCATCTCGGATTCGAGTTATCAAAACTTCAACTGCTCCATTGCTCGTTGAAGAGTCCTCCAGAAAATCTAGTAAGAAACTAACTCGTTCCTTGATTGATTCGATTAGTTGTTTATCAAGAAGAATATGGTTCGGAGCTGGATGCAGGATCTGATTCAAAGTCTGCATAAGAGAAGCTAGAGCACCATAAGCCATCTCAGATCTCTCACCACGACTGCAGGGTTACATTATCATCAAGAAATTTCAACTGGCTACTTATTCAATTCATGGGACAGGCTGCCAATGCTATTTCTTTAATGTCTTTGAAATGTTCTTTTCAAATGTCTTTTTCTTAGCTGTCTGAAGACCGGGTCCGGGCTTCAAAATCTGAAGACAAGTAGGACCAAGAAGCAACTGATGCAGCAATGACAAATTCATTATAGCGTTGATTTTTTATTTCTTTGAAGAGGTACTAATATATTAAATTGAATATGTATGTGATACTTACGCGTTTGTCTATGTATGCATTGATCGAAGTTTTGGGCACTTCAAAGTTGCAATGCAAAGCTTTAAAGTTTTAGGTGAAACAGTGAGATTTCAATAATTCAATTAAAGTTTCTTGGGACGACTGTTGACGATGTCAAAAATAGTCGTATTTGAAAGAATTAACAATTTGTGGATAGTCTTTATACTTCCACGTTTCTGCAAAATTACTTCATCATAAAGAATGTAAAAATCAGATGCTTAACATACTGAGAGTGCTCATATTCACACAACCCATATTATTAAATCACGAGTGTCAAAAATTGTACGAAGTATAGAACTTACAGAAATCATGATACATACTGAAGGGAAAAGGGGTTGGCATCATTTTCTCACCAAACTTCCTAATTATGTCCATGCTCATCTCATAGACCATAAATCTTAAAAGACTTCGAGAAAATAACAATCGGAGTCATAATGCTCGTTCACTAAACCATAAGAGGAAAACAAGATGATAAGTTTGTCTCGAGCACTAACTGAACATCTATCGAATGATAAGTCTTACAAGGGATTACAAGATGCACACTGGCCTATTCATGCACTTTAGCACGTTTCGAGGATGGTGATGTGCCGTCAACGTTTGCCTCTGAATTTTTAAGAACTTGAGTCTCCTGAGCTTTATATTTCTCTCCTCCGTCTTGAGAGTTTTCTCCTGATGCTGTGGATATGTTAGATTGGTCACCTCCTGTTTTGCTGATAGGTGCCTGTAATCCTGCATCATCTCTGGCAGGAGAACTTTGTGCAGCACCCGACAACTCTTTAATGGAGGTCTCCATAGTTGATGAAGTCCCCTTGATCAAGTCAGACCCGGAGTTGCACTGTTTCTCAAACATCATCCGCAGGTATCGCCCTTGTTCTTCAATTCGAAGTTGTAGATTTCTTTGAATCTGCAGAACGGAATAAGATAAGCAGCAGATTCGATACTTATAACTCATCAAACAAGAGCGACCGTTTTGCTAAGATAGTTTCATTAAATGACTCCATGATAGGGGAGATACGACCCAACGGCAATAATTGTAATGGTGAATATTTATAGAAGACACAGGGCTACAGCTGCATATAATTGTACATGTTCCCAATTTATACAATTGCAGGAGAAGGGCAATAAAGCAAGTGTAATATCCGTGGTTTGTGCCACACATTAATGTACGAATATTTGAGATCATACTTCATATTACCGAATTTGCAAATGTGACTATATATTTTACGTGCTTAAAATTTCTCATATTATGCTACCGCCAAAAAAAGTAGCATTGGATGATATTCAAAAAAAAAAAAAAGCCACTGTAAAGCATAAATTCATACCTCAAGCTGTTCATGCAGACGCTTTTGCACTTCCATTTGCAACCTCAATGCTTCAGTGATCTCAATTCCCCTATTTTCCAGTTACAGAAGTATATAATGAGAGGAATATGGGACACAACAAACGGAAGGGGAAAGCAACTCAATTAATTAGTTATAACAAGTCGAGTGCCACTTTTCCAAAAGTTTCACATTTGTCCCCCATTTTGGATGAAACTAAAATCAAAGCAGGGATATTTCCTGGTTCCAGGTTGTCCACACACCTCAATGAACAATCTTCCAGCAGCCATCATCATATTAAATATCATGTAATTTAAGAAAGACAGGCACCAATAGTTTGCTGAGAAACTACTCTATTAACACGACCAAATGTGTTGTAATCGTAAACATCCTCCATGCTGTGACCCCTCCTTTCAGAGTTGTAGTTTTGTTCATTCTACAGGGGTGACAAAATGAATTGTGGAGTCTTTCCTAGTCTGTAGTTCTTCATAAATCTAACAGTAAATAATTTTTCTCTAAATTCCAATTTCTAATCAGGATCCAAATAAAAACCCTTGTACCACTTAGGTTGAGCAGATATTATAATATCATGGTGAGAAGTCTTTCCAGAAGTCCTCGCCAGTGCAGAAACCAGTTATGCAAGCTATTCGCAAAATCAACTTGATAGAAAATACAGATGATGTGTAAGGGTGAGTTGTCAAACTTCTCTATCACAGAAGGAACTGCGTGCAGCAAGGAAAACATAGTATACAATAGAGAAAAAATGCCATAGGTCCATCCTCGAAATTAAAGAAGCTGATTAGGGGAAAGAATGATAACATCCTTTATCCACGAGAGAAAATCTCCGGGCGAAGCCAGAAAATCAGAAGTGGTGACTGCAATAAAAGGAAGATACCTATAGTTTAAACTTTATAAAGTTTAGGAAACATCGAAAGAATAAAAAATCTTTCTTTTTCCTTTTGTATTGGGTTGAGAGGGATGAGGGAGAGGGTTGGCGTATGAGTATCCAAAGCCAATTAGAAGCTCCACAATTGTACATCTGTGATCATTATGGTCAGTCAACTTGAGATACCATATTTCCTTCACTCTGCAATACTTGCATCTTGTTAACAGATAGTTTTCAGTGCCAAATTTATGTATAAACAGAATAACGAAAGAACTATTAGTCTATATTCTCTACTCAATTAACACGTCACACTTCAGAAGTATAGACACAAATGTAATTTGTCCACTCTAATAAAAATCAACTGCATGGTGTGATACCCTCATATTTAAGTAAAACAAAAATTAATCCTAAATTTTGTAATAATGTTTACAAGAGGTCAATCAAACTTACGTTTTCAAGTCCAAGGATGACAATTCTTCAACAGACGGTAGTCTTTTCTCTGAAGATTCTGCAAAAGGAGAAAGCTGTTTCTTTTTAAGTGATGACCGAAAAGTGCTGTCTCCTAAGATTCATCATATCCAAAAAGCCATAAATATTAACCACACAAAATTCTGAAGAAAGAATAAAAAACCTAGAGTTCATGATTATGATGTAAAACCATGGCTACCCATATAAACTGGCTGTTTGGCACATACCTCTCGTTCAGTCATATATTACCTCATTAGGTGTAAAAAATCATAGTTTAAAAAGGGTCTGCTTGAAAACTGATGTTTTGGGTTCAGATATGATAGAGATAGTATAAAGAAACAATTTTGTTTCTGAACCAATTTGAGCAGCTCTACAAAACATCTGTCAACAGAAAACTCAAGAGTAAAAGCAAGTGATTGAAAAGGTTATTGACAAAATTTCTCCACCTGCTCTGGTTGGTAGTAAGTACTGTAGGAGAATTTCATCAGAGGATTCTTACTCATGTAAAGGACAGCTTGTTTGGGCTATAGGGTCTATGAGTCAACGTGGATTGTCCGACATTTAGTATTTACATGAGCATAGTTCTTTATGTTACTCCATGGCAAAGCTATCTTGTTATCGTCATGTTGGTAAAAGAACATATAAATAGTCATGCAAATTTGAACCATCAAACTTAGTTAGATAACAACAAATTTGAGAAACTTTCCCTCCATAATTCTAGAATCTTGCTGCTTTTATCACCTCCAACAAACAAGTATAGCATGCCAGCCTTATTGTGTTTACCATTTAACATATTTAAGACTCGGAAGAGAGTTCAACCTGTTAATGCTGAAGTCTTAGCTTTGCCATTACAAAAGCTTAAAATGTTAGCCCCTGTTTGGTGGCCTTTAATTTATTTCTTATACTCATTTTCAACAACACATTCACACAATAAAATATTCTACACATAAATCCAAAACTTTTTCCTCTTTTTAACCACACATTCTCCAAAAAATACCATTGAAAACATAGTTTTCTCAAATTAAAGGCTACCAAACAGGGGCTTAAATTAACGAGGGTCCTTCATGTATTGGCCAGAAAATCAAAAGCACAGTTAAGATTCTTCACATGAAAAAATAAATACAATTTGAATTATGATATGCCAACTTGATGACAGAAAAAAAAAAAACAACCAGAACTAAATGGAAGGCAGTTAAGGCAGGTGCTGCAGTTACAGAGAATAAATTGGCAAAAATGAAGAACTAAGTGGAAAATTTATAGCTTTTTAAAAGTTTCAAACTTCAAAACAAAGTCAAATTGTTACAATAATTAGCTTGATTAATTTGAACACCCAAGAAACAAATAAATTCATATGAATTAGTGACATAATCATGTAATCCATCTACTACTTTAACTTATACACCATCCTTCTCCAGTATTTATCTCAAATTAGGGCAAAGAACCAAAGAAGAAAGGTAAATCTAAAGTAAATTTTGAGAAAAACTATAGCAAAAGGTGAAGCAGAAGTTGTTATACCTTCTGTTGTCTCTGGCTTGTATCTAGCTGTTCTGTACTTCTGAAGTTCAGGAAACAGATTCCATAAATATATATATGGCAGTGAGGGTCATCATTACAGGTTAAAATTGTTATGACCAAAGAATGCAAACCTGCAGGTGACTTTTCACATGATAAATTGTCAAACCTTCAACTTTCATTAGCTTCAAAACACCCTTGGGAGTAGCTCCTGGGGTCAAGAAGAATTATTAACATCAGTAGATGGCCAATATGTTTTGATCAAATGATACTGAAGGAGAGGGAATTTACTTTCACTCCCACCAAGTTTGTTGACTGCTTCGACAAAGGCTTCATGAAGTTCTGGTGTCCAACGCATGCGTTGTTTTACTGGAGCCACATTTGCTGATGATGATTGAGTAACAACTGTGTTTGTTTCTCCAGGTGTACCTGGAGGCTGTTGGGGTATTTGGGATGGCTGCATTGAAAATTTTACTGGCTGCTTGGACATCTGATGTTGCATGTATATTACAAGAACAAAGAAAAAGCATACTATCAATTATCCATTATCGCATTGAAGAGAAACAAAAATAAAAAATGCAAAAGCAGGCACATTTCAAAGTCATGCATAGAGAAAAACTTCAACCTTTGGTTCAACATTTGCATCAGCAAGAAGCTCATTCAAATCAGAGGTCAAAGGATCATTATCAGTAATAAGCTGGTCAGCCCATTCCTGCCAATCATTTCTTCTGCTAAGATCCTCAGATGAAATGCCAATGTCACCACTGTTGATACTTTCTAGCTGACCATTCTGGATTGAGGTACCAAATGAATAATCAAGAAAATCAGGCAATGAATCTGGACCCCAGGAAGAGCTGTTATTTTCTTTGGTATATTGGCTTGATGCTGTGGATTGGAGAATTCCAGAATCACAAGAATTTGGTAATGTAATTGATGTCCCATTCTTTGCCGATTGAGAAATGAAAGGGGCTTGCCTTAGATGATGCTTTTCTTGCTTTGGGACAGATGAAAAATGAAGATCACTAGAAAATCCTGAGGATGAAGAAAATATATGACCAACAACCCCACTGTCGGAAGACAATGATGAAAGGACAGCTGGAGGATGTTGCATGAGTTCGCTCTCTGTGAAAACCTGCTGAGAGTCCCGTAACTTGGGATATGTCTCTTCCAAAGGGATCGGAATATCAGGTAAAGAAGTCCCAGATGCTCCGAATTTACCTAGTTGTCTTACACCTGATCTTTGAATGGATAAAGCTGGGCGTGCTTCCATATTTGCCTTGTGAGTAAATGATAGAAATTTCAACTTAAAACTAGCTTACTTTCCAGTTTCCCCCCTCACCTAGAACACCTGCACCATAAGAATACCCATCAAACTCATATCTTGAATAAATTAGCTGATAATGCATTAATATTCTACTGAAACAAATGCTCAGAAGAAAATACAAATTTACTAATCTAGTTAGGAAGTTGTAGAAAGAGATCTTCAGATCTGCTCAGACAAGTTAAGATTGAAAAATTAAAACTAAATATGTGATGCCTCATGAAGCATAACTTGTGAATTAGGTTTGATTCTTGCAAAGATTGAACACTCTTTGATATACAGGGCATTGAAGTTAATTTTTTGCAGCCAAGTAAATACAGGGAAACTAAAGTTTGTTATTTCTTCACATGATCAATGATAATAATGCATGTCAGCTGAGCTTTAATGAATGACAATATGCCTAAAAGTTTTATATGCTGTTGTCAGAACTAGAAACAAAGTATGTACACTATTCGGAGAATGTGCCCTTATAACGGACTTATGAGCAAACACTCAGTCATATTGCCCCGTCCATTTCCACACAGAGGCATGGTGTTAAAAATCACTCAAACTATCTTAAAGCAGTCCATCTTGACACAAATGAACTTCCAACTCAGTACCTAAATTTTTTTATTAAGAAACGATTTGCAGTGAGCTTCTGTTCTGCTTGTTGGGAGCTCACAACTAAGAGTGCTTTCTGAGTTCTGACAAATGAAAGAAATCACTGGTAGCTTTTAAAGAGCACAAGCACTAAACTCTTAAAGCTAATTTTGTTTCTCCTAGCTGCATAGTCATCATACACAGTGTTAAGCTTTTCCTTGCATGAAATCAAACCTGAGGGTCACAATGTAACCATGAAGGTAGATTAAAGCATTAGCATCAGACCACATATCCAGAAATCTAAATAAGCTGAGGCAAGAAAAAAACTGAATCAAACACTGTCAGCTGAGCTTGAAAAGGTATCAGAACATCTATAGGGAAGTCTGGTTTGTAATAAAATTAAGACTTGAATGCTTTCCGAAACTTAGTACTTCCATAAAGACAGCAGTACATATGCAAGTGCGCCTCTCTGTGAACTAGGAACTCAATCAGTATTGGTGGTCTCACCCCACATATAACAAATGGGAACTCCTCAACAAAGTGCTCAAAATATATAGATTCATCAAATTAAATTGAAGAAAAACCTTACCAATCAATGTACGTTTGCAAGAATGGCGATTAAGACAAACTTCAAAGAAGACATTTAGCAAAGAAATTTTCATCATCTTATAAAATATTAGTAGTGTATTAGCGTGTTAAAAACTTAAAGTTGAATCTTGGATAGGTATGACATACCCATCGGCAAGTCTAATTAACCAGTCACCTGCAACAGCAATTCCCTTAAAAGTTAATCTTAAACATTTTGCCCTTGTTGATTTCAAAAATAGTAGCTTGTAGAGTAACTTCCTGAGATTAGGGCCATAACGACTTGATGGCTTAGTGAAAGTCAAGTTCAAACTTTATGCCTGATAGGACGAAAACTTAATACCGGTGCATTGAGAGATTTCCATTTCTGGGAGGTAATTGACCATTATGATTTTAGCTAACATGCAAGAAAACCTCCAAACCTGTTAGCCAATATAAAACCAACTATCATCAGCTCCCATTTTTACTGACAAATCCCAAATCTTATACCAATAAACCCTTACTATTATAATACTTCAAGCAAAATTAGACAACAGAAACCATACATGGAAACATATTTTCTCAAAAGGGAAAAATAATCAAATTCACTCAAAATTAGAAACAAATTCCCATGCGTTAATCCGAGCACGAAATCATTAGTTTTCAATTGCACATCAAACAAAACGACATCAAAACCACATATACACGCACAGATAAAAAGATTAAAGAACCCCGTAAAATTAAATCACTAGACCTTCAAAAATTAAAATAAAATCGACGATGAATATTCCTGAAAAAAAAAAGACAATAAAAAATTTATTAAATTGGAAAAAACATGAATTCTGCAAATAAAATCCTTACCTAAATGGCAAATGAATCACCAATTACGAATCAAACAGCTCAATTCGAAATTTTATGATATTAAGGATTCTTCGACAGGCGAAAAAACGACAGTGCATAGAGATATACGTATAGAATATGCATCTATAGAAGTATGAGCGTGTTTTCCGCAGGTTCCGTCACCGGCTGCGGCAAGTAGGAATTGTGCGGTCACGTGACGCGTGCTCCTTTCCCTTGCTGTTGTTGTTTTGGCTTTGGCTTCTATAGTAGTTCATGCCGCCAGGTCAATAATTGTATCACGCTCATATCGTGGCGCGTGTGGGCCACATAATTAAAAATAAATTTCAATGTAAAAAAATTATATTAAATTATTAGTAGAGATTAAAATCAGATTAAAATTGAAAAATTAGTCATTATTGTTGACTTTTATTAGAAGAGTGGAATTCAATAACGACTATATTTTCAATTTTAATTCCTCCCAAACAAGCTTATAATCTGAGTTCCAAATAAAAAATATACAGTTTTAATATATCTGTAAATTGTAATTATGATTACAAATAAATATTCGATTACATTAGTGTAACTAACTTTTAATAAAGTTTAATATAATTTAAGACGATGAAACTTATAAAGTAAACATATTATTAACGTAGCGTAATTTTATTATTACTGAGATAAATATGAACAAATATTTTAACTTAGAGTGTGTTTGGTAGAGATTTTTTGGGGAAGAATTGATTTTTGAATAGTGATATGATGCGAAATGTGTGGTTGAAAAAGAAGAAAAAATTATTGATGTGATGGAAAATATTATTTTATTGAAGAATGTGTGGTTGAAAATGAGAATTGATTTACTGTAGAAAAGGAGAATTGTTACCAAACAGGCTCTCAATNAGAATCTGTACCAAACAGACCCTTAATTTATTTTTTACTAAATCAAGTAAACTTAGTGTAAGTTGCTCAAACTTTAAATTTAAAATTGAACTTGACAAATTTACTTTATATTAACATTTTTTTTAATCTATAATTTATCATTTATATATTTTATAATACTCGCAATTAAAAAAAACTTAAAAGTACGGTAAAATAGACTTTTATACTTAAATAATTAGATTCAATAAAATTAAGCGAAGTTACTAGTTTTCACAAAATTATACACAAGATTGTGATCACTTTGGAAGTACATAAAATTTAATTGAAGTGGGACAAAGACTTGGAAAAATCAAAGTCCGTAAGATTTTGATAAATACTTTTTCTCAAACATACATATTGAAAAAGTTTTACTAATTGTCTCGTAAGAAGTACCATACCGCATTATTACACATAATTATTTCGGTGATGCTATTTGTACATCAAGATGTACGGGTTACACCCTCCTCACATGGGGGATGGGACCCACTCGAATGAAAAATATTATTCAAGTGGGTTTCACCCCCCATGTGACTATGTGAGGGGGGTGTAACCCATTATGTACATGTCTTGATGTACAAGTAGATTAATTCTAATTATTTTATGTACATTGGATCCTAGACTATAGGATTTGAATTGTTTTGGAAACATCACATGTATTTGAACTAGTAGATGATGGGAGTGACTTTCTACAGTCGGACGAGGGATGTATCCATTTATAATCGATTAAATATAATTTAAATTGGTCATGCTAACTTTTTAGTCGTACATTTTATAAACCCACAACTTATTATCCATTTTTTATACACAAATTCTGTAAAATTACTTAAGTTTACAATTTAACAATCTCAAACAAGCACCCAAAATTTGTTAATTTGAAAATTAAAGTTCTAATGAGTACAAAAATAAACGCACTAACTCTATATGGGACCAGCAATTCCTCTTCCGACCACTGGTGTCTCATAGATAATATTTGTTAACTTGAAGTACTCTCTTTTTGTCGAGCATGAAACTCGTACATTTGGATTCAACCAAAAACCTTCAATAATTTTGAATGGGACTTGAAGAGGGACCTTCCCCTTTCATGAATAACAAGTGGGGGAAAGGATTCTCCAATGTCAATGTCCACTCCCCAAAATGGATATCCAGCTTAGCCAGGGCTTGCATAGGACACAAAGGCCATTCTTTATAGCCATTCCTTTTTATCCTAGATATTATGGACTGAGATGGTGAAAGGGACAGGTTACACTGCAACATCAACATAAATTACCCTACCATCACTGACCTTAGAGGGTTCTGAAAGGGTACATGGACAGTTTATATAGAGCATTGACAGCATCTTGGAAGGCAATATCCCTCTGATTTTGAGGGGCACAAAGCACGGCATTGCCAAGATTCCCAACAATACTATAATTTAGGAAGAACCAAAGGCTCGTCGTGTATGGAGGTGCATATCTACTTTGAAGTGATAATCTTATTTTCATGTTCGTGAATCACAAATAAAATGTCGAGATTATTTATATTCATAAGAATACAAATAGATATAAAGACGAAAAGAATCTATAATAATTGCATTCAACTATTTTGGAAATAAAGAAACATCACCGTAAATCGAAGAAATTTTGCAAAATTAAGGACATTAATAAATTATTATTTTTACCTTTTTACTCTCCTAAACCTAATTTTTAATTTTCACTAGTAATCAAGTTTAAATAATTCTCTCGATATTGAAAATTAAGCTAAAATATTGACTATTATATTGTTCAATCTCTCGTGTGCAATACAACGTACCGTAAATTGTGAAAAGGGAACAAGCAAGCAAGTGCCGCAACATCCTCACTCCATCCAAAACGGACAAATAAAGGTAGGTTGGACGGGATGTCGTGGAAAATTAAAAGGTGGGTTGGACATCACTTAACAATATTAAGAAAGCCAGAAAAAATTAAACTATTGCATTGTCCGATTCTGTAGAATATTGCATAACAAACGTGCCACCAGAGCAAAAGCCTTGCAGCACAAGATCAATTGTCCAAAACTGGTCTTAAATCTAACAAATGAAACTGCAGATCCACTGCAAATAATTCTCCTTCCCTATTTCGATATATGAATTTTCTTCAAGATAAAAATACATGAAAAACTCGTTATTGGAGCTTCAGGACATTAACTAAGCAGCAGCAGAAGGAAGAGGTTCGGTGTTTATAATATACACGAAGATGTAGCAGTTATCCTCTCAAAAGTGTTTGTATTTCTCTCATTTACTCAACTAAAAAAATCTCTGTCTGACGTAGTTTAGTAGTATTTATCCTCTCAAAAGTGTTCTGTCCATGATTGTACAAATTTTTCATAAAAGGTGAAATATTTATGTCTAACGTAGTTTAGTAGTATTTTACGTAAATATTTGTGTTGTTATTTCTCCATATATTTTATATCTCGACTTTCAAAAATTCTTTGAACCAGGATCCCGTTGGCAAATCGAGAAATTGGTCTCAATTCCCAACACAATCTACGGAAGCTCAACTGCAAAAAGAATCATTAATGGAGGAGTTCATGATTTATTTATTTATTTATTTATTTTGTGCAAAATATGTGGATGATGTGGAGACTAAGGGCAATCAATCCAAAAGCAATGGGGGTTCGATGAGTTTCTGCTCACAAGCTACATGCTACAGCTGATTAACTCAGTCGGGAGGTTCAAGTAATGTCATTTCACCAAATAAAAGTATCCAGATAAAAAAGACAAAAACCAATAATGTCAAAACAATGAGTGATAAATTAACATTAATGAAAATATCAATCCTTCCGCTCTTCTTTTTCCAGGTCAGATGAGTATCTCTTGTTACCTTTTCCAAATTTCTATGTCAAAGGTCCAAATGTTTCTTCTTTTTATTCTATTTCAGTTTCAGTTTGAGTTTTACCTTTTCTTTTCTTTTTTTGCCTGCTATGTTCGTTCTCTCTTTCTCCTTTAGCTTCAGATTCCAACTTCTGAAATGAAAAGGCCAAAAAAGCCTTTCTTAAAGGTACATCGTATTTGCTTCTAAAGACAGCAAGTCACTCAAAACAAACAAAGAAAAAACATGTAGAGATAAGATGAAACTAGTTTGGAACCCTCTCGTTCAAGTAAGGTCGTAAGGAACTCCTTTGGAATTAAAAAGCACGCAAATAAAATAACATGGCCTGAATAAACTCGGAGTTAACAAAATCACCAAACCGAATTTGTATAGTGAACTACGACAATCTTGTAGGAAAGAAGTGCATATTAGGTACACAATTCTTACAGAAAAGAGTTTAGACAATGATCAAACAGAATCGGCACCGAATGTTCTATGGGATCGGTTGACATGGATGACATAGAGGCACCAAATTCTCTCCGCCACCTCACCTGGAAGCATGATCCATGAATAATCAGTTCAAAACAGATAAAGGGAGGCAGAGAAGAAGAAAGTTATGTCACTGAACTCACATTCTCTGTGCTCCTTCCCGTCAGTAGTACAACTACAGCATCTGTGCAGAAAAAGAATTGCAACATTTTACAGAAAGAACGCACTCTTACAAGGATCAGCAAATTTTGTAAGAAACCTTAAGAGAATCGAGACATTCAAAAACCTGGTAGTCAAAGAATCTTCTCTGAATTGACTCTCTATTTTACTTAGATATGATTTGAAGAGCTGTGACCTGCAATCAAATGATCCCCACCTTCCTTTGTGTTATTAAACTAGAGTGAGCTAAATGAAACTAATGATTATTGATTACGAAAAACAATAAGGGGCAATTTTCAAGTTGATGGATGCAAAAAGAAATCTTCACTAGAAACTGAAGCAATATATGCTGCTACACCATCTCCATGTTAAGGGTGGTTTAGAAATTTGTGTCCATGTAAATTTTGTCAAGGGAATTTGAATCCTTGTAAATTTCAATTTTGCCCTCATTTGTTTTATAATTAGGGAGCATTCATTAATCACCATCAATAGAGAAAGAGAGGTTAGAGAAGATTGGTGTGTGATTTTCTCTTGTAAACTTCTTTTAATCATGGTGAATTACTGCACGGTGGAAGATGACATAGTTTCACATTGAGATAAATCTCTATAAATCTTGTGTATCTTTATTTCTTTCTTCTTATTGATTGCTCTCGGTGGAACAGAATTAGGATTTTTTATTATCAACACTCCATATGTCATCGGATAAATACACAGGTATTATAGAACTTTTAAAAAGTAAAAGTTGTACCAGGAAGGAATTGCAACTGCTGCAACGATGGGGGGCAGTTTCCACAATTGGTTGGGTTGATTGCTCAGCAAAACTTCCAAATAGTCCAGAACATTTTTTTCCTGCTTTAAACGAACACGGTTAGGAAAATAATGGCAAGGAAAATCAATGTAGCTGGAATAATTTAAGACATCTCAATGAAAATAATAACTTGAGGAAAATAGAAAAGGGAGAAAGAAGCCCAACAATCTAATATGCAATCAATCCTCTCAACGTAAACTGTCGTATTCATACATCATGAGAGTAATGTCTACAACGCCACTACTAAATATTGAAAATTTGAAGCAAGTTAATCGTCATTGAGTGTAAACACATTGAGGTGGACCTAAATAAAAATTATTGCAATGAAGTTAATTTTCCAATTTGTTATATAAGTAGTCTATTTTAATTACTCGTGACACGCACAGGCCCGAAGTATAAATACTATCACAAAAACGTAAACATTAATATTTTTATATAAATATAAATTCTATAGATACAGAAGCAAAGCTTTCATTAATAAACACAGTTGGTAAATATTCGGCTCAAGCAGCAAAGGTCATGACACAAAAATATATTAATCCAGCCTCATACTGCATCCATATGCAACTTCGATAAGGAGTATTATTTGTGTAGCCAAGGAACCTCATATCTTATGAAGTGTGAAAGGTAAAATTGATTAATTATCTGGCAATGGGGAGACAGACAGGATTTTAAGTCGAACTTACTCTTATATTTCTTATATAATTGAAACATCAAAACTGCACACGCTTCCCAACCCAATGCACTTCGGCCTCGTACACTGCCACCCTCCACCTCTTACATAATGCTCTTTTCGAATAACTAAACTATTGTTTGTTTTGTGATAGTGTGGTGATGAGGGTGCAAATGTTGAACTATTGTATCACATATCCATAGATGTAGGACCAAACTCCAAAGTCATGCAGCAACAGAGCGTACCAACGATGAGTATTAGGCCAATCCTCACTTAGAGAGTGTAATCCCTATTTATTACCTTTGAGTTCAATGAGCCTGCATTAGAACAAAGGTCTTGAGATCTTCCAAGTGATATGCTGTGCACATTATGATATAGCTTGGAAATGGGAAGAGATTCATAAGAACTTGACATTAATTGATCAATTAGAGAACTCCATCTATCAGCAATACACCCTATTGACAAGAGTTCCTGCCATAACAAGGGATCAAAGATAGAATGTCACCACATATAATATATAGGAAGACAATAGATTGAATAATTCATTTGTCACATCAATAAGCTGTAAATATGATCGAGTAAATATAGAAACAAAGCTGTCATCATAATATGGTCGAAGTATTTATATGGTAGGTCAACAATTTACGAATATTATTCGGCATTATAATTGATTACACAATCAGCTATCCATTTGCAAGAGACAGGCATCTTTCTGGTTCATTTCAAACATCATCAATATAAAAACAGATAGACTTTTGACTGAATCGGATAACTCACCAGATATTTACAGAGATACATTCCTGTATGACTGTATAAAGACGAAAAAACGAGGAATAACTACCAAAGGAAAGCAGAGTGTCACTAACTTTATAGGCTAGGTAGTAAATTATCAATTATTAACTTCTCATTACAGATTATTCATATTATTAAAATTGACCAGGATGTTCTGCTAACTTCGGCGCGGAGTAGTTAACAGTTCCATTCAGATGCATGATGGGATGAACGAGGTAATCTAAAAAGACATATGAAGCCATAACAGCCTGTTCCAACTCACCCTCTATGTACATGTGATACCTATATGCATACACAAATGCATCTCTGAATGGTTAGTAATAGCAAAGGACTGATCATCAAAGCATATAATTTTATTTTATTTTTGAGAATTTGACATTTAATAGTGTTTTTGAGAAGCGGACTTACTATTGTTTCAGATAAATCATCATCAGTTTCTGCTGAAACATTGAGTCGTCCTAGAATTTGAATCCATTGGTCTTTAGGAGCAGAAAAAATCAAACTGGCACCAGAGACCAGCCTCATAGTTCGCTTGTCAAGCATGTATGATAGATTTCTCGATCTCCATTGATTCCATACAACTGATTTCACTGGTGGTTCTTCTGTACTTTGGGGCAATAGAAAAAAACAATTACACTTGAATCAAGAAATTCAATCAACAACAGAATGACCTGCCTGCATCTAGTTAAAATACATTAGTACACGTGAAGGGAGAATAAGACCAAAAAAAAAATAGTCGACAAGACATTACACAATATGAAATGGGAGGCAGTTACAAGGAGATGCATAAAAAAAAATATATATCACGAGTATATACAGTCTCCATGAGATATAAGCAACAAAAAAAAAGAACTACATCTTATTATCATGTCATAAAAATGTTCCTTTTGCTTTCACAAGATGAAGGAATAACAAATGAACAGGGTTCTTAGTCAGTGGTCTGATAATTCATTCATATTCAACTAATTAATAAATGAACTGAAGATGATAAACTAGTTAACGAACATTGTGAAACAGGCTATTGATACGAACTTCATTTTCTAACTCTTAAAAATGAAAAAAAATATCATTCATTACCTAAATATCACTAACATCTTTCAATTGTATCGTGCTTGCACTAATTGATTTTCTCTAAATCGAAAGTTATTAAGATAACATTTATTTCCTTACATATTTAGATTTTTTATAGACATTACGAGCAGAAAAACTATTAATGGACAGCTCTTTTCACTTAACTTGAACTCACACGACCACCTGCTGAGTAAATTGGCTTGCCAATCGTACGCTTTGAATACCAATAAATCACTAACACCAGCTCAGCACACTGGAATAGATCTAGCAAGTACATAACTTACAATAGAGAAGTCTGGTGATGTATCTGTTCTCCGTATGGCAAATTACCAGGCTCATTGCACAGGCTTTGTCCAATGGCCTTTGAGAGAATTCCTAAACCTGTCTGCACAACAGATATGCACGACACTGCATGTTGCCTGCTTTCAAATTCTTGTATAGCACACCTACTAAAACCACCATCCATCCAATTCCCATGTTTTTCACTTGGAGTAGCATCTGGAGATGAAAATGTTAAGTCATCTAGTAAAGAATTTGGCCTACTTTAACTTTGGCTTTATTGATGCATTCCGTGTCAATCTTTCAAGATATACATGAAGGCAATTATTGTCTAGCCTGTGAAGCTCACCGAAATCCATCTCAATAGCGGCCGCTATTGTAGCTCTGAGATTTGACTCCCTCAAGGGCAATGTGTGGATCAGGTGTTTTACAATAAGATTGCTTGCTCTAATAAGGGTCGTGGAAGAAAGATGTGCAAGACCCTGTGAAAAAATTCCAAATAAATAAATAAATAATCGTTGGGGTTGATTTACAACAATTAGCTATTTTAATGGTATAAAAAGTTCTGAGGACAGACTGGAATGTTCTCTACCTGAGGGAAATATTGACTGGATGTCAATTCAGATAAAGCTGCATCAACTTCCTCGATGGAATCCTCATAATCTATCGAGCATGTCAAGTCCTTAAACACCTAACCATGTTAATTAATAGAACAATTATGACAAGCACTATCTTGATACATGAACCAACTATGTTACTGCTAAATTAAATTGAGTGTTTGAGTTTCTAACATATATTAACATCAAGACAAATTACAGTATCGGCAAAATGAAGACTCAACTATCCAAAAATTAAAATTTAATGAAGTACCTTTCTCACAGGCTAACAATCACTGGAAGAGAATTTAAAAAAAAAAAAAAAAAAATACAGCAGTGCCACCCAATTTAAAAGTTAATACTCTCCCAAGTCCCAACACACTTTTCTTCAATATAAATTTAATGGAATAAACGATGATTACACTCAAAATTCAACTAGATTTTCTCGATCTCAACCCAAGTGAAAACCTATATTTTGATGAAATAAGGGCAAAAAAATAGAAATTTTGTACTTGCATTCTGAAGAAATGTAGCCCATTGGAAGGCTTTCTTGATATTATAGGTATCCCAGTGCGCATGGCGGCCGGTTGATTGATACCCAGAAGCCAGAATCAACACGTCGACGAAAGCTTTTACAAGTTTAATTAGATCTTCAAGGGATATGTGAGGATAAGACCAACCCATTTTTTGATTTTGAAACCTAAATTCAACCGCTGAATTTGCGAATCAGGGAGAGAGAAGCGTCGCAGTTAAGCCTCTGATTTTCCCGCGTCTGAAAATGGAAAAACTACGGGAAACTCTTGCCACACTTGGTATTGACAAAAACTAAAATCTAATTAGACCACATTTGGCAAAATTTAAGGGTGTGTTTGCCACGTTATTTTGGAATAATGTATTTTGAAATAATAGATTGATTAAAAATTGTGGAAATTACATGGAGCCCTACAATTGGAGATCCAATTTCTAAAATCAGAAATTCTTTTTTTTTTTTTCAAAAGTCAGAACTTTTTAAAATAGATACAATAAAATTATACATGTTATAATTATATATTAAATTTCAAAAAATTAGATC